GCGTCAATTTGAAGAGGGTTGAGTTTGAGAGTCCTTCTTTTTTGACAAAAGTTGAGAAATTAGCTTTTTACGGTTGTGAGTCACTCAAAAAAAGCACTTCACCTTCTGGCATTGATTTGATCAAGAGTGGTTCTATAGAAATCTGTCTTAAAAGCAATTTTTCGAGATTTAATGAAAGTATCAAAGTCAAGCCAACTAGCACGTTTGAGGAATTGATCGAAATAGTCACGGATAGAGTAAGAATTGATCCATTTAATTTCCATTTGTTTTTCCGCAGCGAAACCTTTCAGGACTATAAAGAAATACAAGATTACGCTCTGCCTGATAGAGCAGTTATTCATGTTGTCAGAGCGCATTGTTTGCGTGGAGCAATCCCGCTCTATATTGATATGCCAAATGGCAAAAGCTATGCTACTGAATATGAAAAAGACAGAACAATTTTGAGTATTAAAGAAAGAATTGAATATATGAAAGGAATTCCAGCAGTGAAACAGCATTTGTTTTATAAAAACATTGAACTCGAAAATGATAAAGAACTTCAAGATTACTCAATTAAGATGGAGCAAAATCTTCAGTTGGCTGTCGAATCTGATGTAAAAGATGTCATCACAATATATGTGTCCTTCGCTTTCAAAACTTGCGCAACTTATTCTGTATCTCTATCTGAAAGCATTGAAAAAATTAAAAATCAATCTTTAGAAAAAATCAAAAACGTGAAATCTGATTTTGTTGCTTTGTCTTATTTAGGAAAGCAACTCGAAGAAGGGAAAAAATTGGCTGATTACAATATTCATAATGGAGCCAAATTAGTTTTTGTAAAGAGAAAGAATACTGAATAAAAAAAAAATATTTTTAATTTCTATTCTTTTAGAATCTGCATGTGCTGATTTTTATTTTATGCCATAATTGGTTTAAATTCATTTCACGGATTCAGCTAGAAATATCTTTTTTTTTTTTTGGATATTTAGCTAAATCAATTTTTATAACTGAGTCTGGGATTTCGAATTCAACAAGTTCATTGCATTGGAAAAACGCTGAATTGCCAATGTAAGTTAGGTTTTTGGAGCATATCACTTTTTTTAAAGAAGTGCATCCAGCAAATGCTGATTCTGGGAGTTTTGTTATTGTATCTGGTATTTTTACAGAGATTATTGGATATCCTGCAAATTGACACTTCTTTAATTCTTTAATTCCATCAGGAATATTTAATTCTGTTATTTCATTGTTTTGTATTTGTTTGATTGTTTGATCTAACATTTCATTAGCTTGATTTTCAGGATCATTTTGGCTCATGTTTATAATTAAACAAGTTAAAAAATGAAATAAAAAAGAATTTTCCTTTTTCAATAATTTACAATAACTTTTTTTTCCACTTTCATTATTTTACTAAAGGTATTCAAGTTAAGTGAATTAACTTGAGCTCATTTTGTCTTTTATGATTTTTATAATGTATATCTATTTTGTAGTCCTGGAATAGAATTTGAATGAATGGTGATCGAATTTTTTTTGCCTGCTGGCAATTCTCTTGGAAAATCAAAAACAAATTGGATTATCAATGTTGTTAAAAAACAAATGCTGTTTATCACGTTGAAGTTGATATCAATTCAAAGTTGATAACGTTGACAACGAAGAGCTTATAAACGGTCGCTTCGTTATCGATTTTTTTTTTTTTTTTTTTTTTCAAAAAGTTTTTTTCTCCTTTGATAGTTTCATTCCTTATCTTTATTTTAATATATGATTAAATAGATAATATTATCTTTAAAAATAATTAGAAATAATTTAATTTTTTATTTCTTTACCCTTTTAAAAAATGATGGATGAAAGCAATATTCTCCAAAATATTGCAAAGAATAAGGAATTTCAAAAGTTTTTACTAATGGACAATATGCAAATGATTGTTCTCCCATTGTTTTTACTGATGGAGGAATTTCTACATGATCAAGGGAAGAACAATGAGAAAAAGCATTATTGCCAATACTTTCAACAGAAGGAGGGATGATCACACTTTTTAGTGATGAGCACTGCCTAAAGCATGTTCCTGGTATTGACTTCAATGACGGTGATAATTCAAGCACTTCAAGTGAAATACAATTGAAAAACGAACTGCCTCCAATTTCTTCACATGATTCTGGAATTTTTACCTCTTTAAGTGAAAGACAATCATAAAAAGCACAATTTCCAATGCATTTTATGTTTGGCGGTATTTTTATATTGAGTTTTGTACATGATCTAAAGGCTCCTCCATCAATTTTTATAACTGAGTCTGGGATTTCGAATTCAACAAGTTCATTGCATTGGAAAAACGCTGAATTGCCAATGTAAGTTAGGTTTTGGGAGCATATCACTTTTTTTAAAGATGTGCATCCAGCAAATACTGATTCTGGGAGTTTTGTTATTGTATCTGGTATTTTTACAGAGGTTATTGGATATCCTGCAAATTGACACTTCTTTAATTCTTTAATTCCATCAGGAATATTTAATTCTGTTATTTCATTGTTTTGTATTTGTTTGATTATTTGATCTAACATTTCATTAGCCTGATTTTCAGGATCATTTTGGCTCATGTTTATAATTAAACAAGTTAAAAAATGAAATAAAAAAGAATTTTCCTTTTTTCAATAATTTACAATAACTTTTTTTATTTTTCCCATTTTGAATAATTTACAATAACTTTTTTTTTTCCATTTTCGATAATTTACAATAACTTTTTTTATTTTTCCCATTTTGAATAATTTACAATAACTTTTTTTATTTTTCCCATTTTGAATAATTTACAATAACTTTTTTTATTTTTCCCATTTTGAATAATTTACAATAACTTTTTTTTCCACTTTTATTATTTTACTAGAGGTATTCAAGTTAAGTGACTTAACGTATTTTATGATTTTTAAAATTTTATTTTTTTCGACCAATTTTGGGCTATTTGAGCTTATTTTGTAATATATTGTTTTGAAACAAGTGTTAAGTTTGTTTATACTGTTTTTCCCCAATTTCTGAGAAAAAAAATTAAATTTCAATAAATCGTCATTAATAAATGATCGGATGTAAAGTGTTTAAAGTATTTAAAAAACTGAAATAATCGAAACAAACCAAATATTTAAATAGAACACATTATATATAATAAATTATTAAAATATTGGAAGGATTTTCTAATTTGATTTGGAGATTTATGTTGATTAAATTTGAATGAAAAACTCATTTTATCCATTCAAAAAAAATTTTTTTCATATGGTATGTCTATAAATTTAAAAATTTACTTCCAAATTTCATTTAAGGACGACCTTTCACCGTTTATAATTTTTTTTATATCGATTAATTTTTGTATTCATTTTCATCGTAAATCATTGAAAATTAAAAAATTTAATAACTCAAGTTAGAAGGGAAAAAAGAAACTTGTTTTTGTGTTAATACAAATCAAATAGAATAAATTATTGATATCCGGTTCGAAAAGTAATATTAATACTTGTTATTTATCATATTTAAACATTTTTTTATTTAATCTACTAAAATTTCATCTTTTTCTTTAATATATTATGAGTTTGGAACCGGATTATTTTAAATATTCATGTTATTTAATAAATGGTGCATAGAAAACAAAATTGTTTTTATTTGAAATTGAGTTATTACATTTTGAAATTCTTAGTAAAAATATAAACGTATTTTAGTTTAATTCACTTTTATTTTTTGAAATATCTCTTTTTCAAAGCTGAATAATTATTTAATTATTTTTTATATGCATTATATTCCAATTATTTATTTGTTAATATGAGTTTTACAATAAAATTAAGAAAGATTGAGGAAAAATTAAATGTAACCACGACGATCATTTTTCATAGAAAGGTCGTCCTTAAGAATTTGATTTTATATTATATAAAATTAACTGTTATATATAACTTTTTTAGGCATTTCCAGGTTATTTAATTTTGTTCTCAATTTTTTGACACTTTACATCTGACCGCTGTACCGTTCATTAATATACTGATTCTCTTCAATTTTTAAAAATTACAAATGATTCAATTACAAAAAGAAACAAGTAAATAAATAACTAGTATACCAGTGATTTTTATAAAATCTGTTTATTAAATTTCAATAAATAAAAGCTCTTCAATTTCAATTGAAATGAACTAGGGCAAAAATTTGAATTTTTTTAAAAATTTTTAAAATTGATCGTTCAATTACATAAATAAAGTTGGGCATAACAAAGCATATAATGAATTTATTCTTATTGTTTTTTATTCAGCAAGTGTCCAGCAAAGAACCAATAATCCTTCTTGATCAATTCTCACCGCCATTAATAATGAGTTATGTTTTTCCATTGGTTATTCTAATTTTTATTTTTTTATGTATAGGATATTTTATAATCCTTTTTATTCTATTGTGTTGTTGTTGTAAGCCCGAAGAAGATGAAAAACCCAACCTTTGTACAATCATCTTTTTTATAATTTCAAGTATAATAATGTTACTTTCTTCCATTTTGCATTTTGTAGGAATATCCAAAATTATAGACAATTGTTATTATAATGAATATATTTCAAAAATATTGAGTTTGAATAATGATTTCATAAAAAGCAAACATGTCAAGCATTTCAAAAAAATCAAAGAACATAATGAGAATATTTTAACATTAAACACTTATTTTAATGATTCAGCTAAATCAATAATTTCCAAAATTCAAAACTATAATAGTGCTTTTATTAACAAAAACGAACCATATAGAATGTCATTCAACAAAATTTATTTAAATCCAAGTACAGATAGTTGTTTAAAAAAAGCTTTAAGAGAAATGGATGAATCCCGAAATACAATTTTTTTAGAAATAATTTCATTTACAGAGAATTACTATAAATTATCAAAATGTATACAAAAAACATTAGATGATTACAATGAAAATATCATTTCTTTTTCAGATGAATATTTAAGATTTCACAACAATTATTATTCAAAAAATCAACAAAAACAAAAAAGAGAAATTTAATAAGACAAAGAAAAAAGCAAAAAAATGGCTGCTGTGGGATTTGAACCCACGCCCTTGCGGACCAGAATCTGACTCTGGCGCCTTAGACCGCTCGGCCAAGCAACCTTTCTTCTTATTTATTCTAAATTACAAATGTAAAGATGAATATTTTGATAAATTATACTTAAAAAAAAGATTATTGATTCAGAAAGGAAAGTCAAAAAATAAAAAGTTAATGAATATTAATAATATTTATTATTATTATTCCTCAAGAATTGCTGAGAAAGTAAAAAAGTCAGAATTTCTAGAATTAGGTCCTGTTTGTTTTATTAGAATGTAGATGTAGAAATTGTCACTTTTTCTCGAACATGGTAGAAATTTTAGCAACTTTTTGAATGATTTATTTTTTACAAGCGAAAATTATACATTTTAAAAACAATATTTGCATTTTAAATACAAGTTTAATCTATGATTTTCAATTGTTGAAAATGATATGATTCAAGAAGTATTAAAATTTCTTAAATTGAATGGACGTTGTAGGTTTGAGTTCCCAAACGTCGTCAATAACAAAATAATGAAACTTTTAATATATATGTATGCATTTATTAAATATTATTGAGCATTTATATTATATTTCAATATAATATAAAATGATGAGTTTTTGATATAAATTTTATGAGATATTGTATGATAATTATAGTAAAATTAGTTAAAAAAATTGTCTCTTTTATTAAAAAAGTTCTGGGTATAGGAATGCTTCTTCTTCTTTTTAGCATATCACTTTTACTCATAGGAATCAAAGGTTTGACTTTTTGAAAACAACTTTTGAGGAAATGGAATATTTTAGTGACTTTTAGGAAAAGACTTTTTATACTTAGAAAATATTTTTGACTTTTTGAAAGCAACTTTTTGGAGGGCTTCAGTAAAAATCACCCCCTCAAATTCACTTAACGGCCAAATTGCCATTCAAATCAACTGGTGAAAAGTGCGATGTTTACTTCATTTCGCACTTTTCACCTTTGGTAGTATTCAATTTACTTCATTTTTTATTCAATTTTAAAAATTCATTTTCGACTTTTCACCAGTGGATTTTTATTAAGAAAAAAACTTTTAAAAAATCATTTAATAATTGAAAAAATGAAAAATGAATATTACCGGTAAAATTTAATGATTTAAAAGTAATTATTATTTTAATTCTAAAGAATTTGGTTTAATTAAATATAAAATGATAAAATATTTGGCTAATGAAAGTAATAAATAAGTGTGAATAATATAAAATGTGTTTGTGCAAGTATTATATTATTAATAAATGCAAAAAAAATCAATTTTTCTTTAAATAATTATTTAAGGAATATTTACTTTTTTCAATTCTAAAAAAATTCTTAATTTAATAATTAATACTAATTGTTTATTCATAAAATATAAAAATGAGCATATTTTTTGAGAGGTAGCTTAGATATTTGAGAAAATGATGATATAGTGTTTTTAGTAATATTTTACCTTTAAATTGGTTTATTATTATTCATTTTAGAACAAAAATATGGAGTAACATTGTTTTTCACGTGAATTCAATTATTTTTTGAATAAAAAATTAAACTTCACATTGATTTGATGTAATTTAAAATATTATAGTATCTAATTCAAAATTAATATTTGCAAGTAGGAATAGATTTTGGGTGTTTAAAAAAAATTGAATAAATAATTTTATATAATATGATATTTAAGAATTGATAATTGAATTAGATCTGTACGTTTTAAATATTGTTTTGAATATTTTTGAATGTTTTCAATTTTTTTTATCTCAATATTTCTGATTGTTATAAATTTTATATTTTAATGCTTTTTAGTATATTTACCAAAAATGCTTATGTTACTAAATTATACTTTAAATATATTGAATGTATATATAACAGTATTTAAATAATCATTTTAATATTTTAAATTAAAAGTTATTAATAAGATTTAAAAGTTTATATTATTTTATTTCTCAAAAATCGATTTTCAAAAAATTCAAAACGTATTTTTAAAATGGTTATATTCAAATATATCAGTTAAGAATTAATGAGTATGAAATATGAATTATTTATTATCTTTTATATTAATTTGAAGTTTGATGATTTGAAATTTAAATGTATTCTTTTTTTAACTAATATACAAAATAAATCAAAGTATTTTTGAAAATTTTGATTTATTAAACATTTGTATAGTGTATAAAATAATCATCTGAAATTTTTGTGAACATAGATTAAAATTTATATCAATTTTAATTATTAACCGAAAATAAGTTTTCAGAAAATAAAATTATAATATATTAATAAAATATTTAATTCTTATTTGATTTGTATTTTACACCATATATCTTTAATATAACCAAATTGAATGAATTTGAATGACATGAATATAATGATTTTTAATCTTATTTTATCTTTTTCTCGATAAAAAATGAAGTAAAATAAATTAAAATCAATAATTAATTTTATATATGAACTATTTAAAGAATAAATTATATTTATTATTTCAAAACAACAATTCTAAATATATTTTTAAGTCCAGATTTTATTTATCCAAATTAAAGCTTTTAATTTTTAACTGAAGATTTATATTAAATCTTAAAGTTTATATGGTTAATGAAATAACCTAGTTTCTTTTTATTCATGATTATTAAAATTTAATTTGAAGATTCCAAAAATATTTTAAGCATATTATTCTTACAATTGCTTCTTATTAATATATTATAATATAAAAATTTAAATTTAAATTGATAATAATCATGAAAATTATAAAAATTAATAATTCTATATTGCACTATTATATTTTGTTATTTTTAAAATAAATATATTTCAAATAATTATAAAATAATGCTTGTCATTATTTTTATTTCAAGATAATATTCGTTTTCCCATTGTTATTTTTGAATACTTTACATGTTATTTAAAATAGTTTGAAAATATTTTTGATATTCCTAGATTTGCATTACATTTAATATATTATTTGTAAAAAAATATCCTTTCTATAATAAATATCCAATTATAATCATGATATATTTATATTTATTAAGAGATAAACGATTAATAAAAATTTCAAATAATAACGGTTATTTAAATAATATTTTTTTTTTTTTTAATTTTCATTTATCTCAATAAAATTATAAATAATTAAGTAAATATTAATCTTTATTGAGAGGATCATTTATAAAATTATTGTATAATGCATCAAAAAGTCAGAATATTATAGAATTTTGATTTTATTTTGGATTATGAAATCTGTATCTTATTTTTTAAAGTTTACGGTGTAAGTTTATTACTTAAAAATATATTGATAGACATTACATTTAGCCTATCTATTTGGAAATTGTAATATTATTTATTTGCTAATAGGTAATTTACTTTATATTGGATTATCATCATTTGATACAATTGTTAATACTTCAATATTTTACTTATCTGTGATTGTAATACGTTAGGTTGTGCGTCCTTAACATCTACCCAGGCCTGATCTCACCTTCGATCTCTCTAGGGATAGGTTCAATTATAATAATTATTATTTTTAATACATAAAAATAACAATCACTTCTAAAATGTAATTATTTTTATGTTGACTCAAGAGTGGCCATTCTAGCTTCGAGGGTTGCAATTTTTGCATTATATTCTGATTTCAATTCATAGTTGTCATTGACATACAGCTTTTATGTGTCCTTTTATCACATTGAAATGCGTCATATTTCAAATGTTTACCGGTATATTGCCAAATTTTGATTCATATTCCTCTTGTAAATCATTATACTGAACTATATTTCAATTGTTGATCATTATATTGCATTATTTTTCATTTCGGCGTCATTATATTATATCATATTTCATTTAATCTCCATTATAATGCAATATATCTCCTTTAAATACCACCTTTTTTTCCTTATATTTCAATAATCTCAATCTTATTTTACTTTTAAACAAATACATTGAAAAATATTCCTTTTTATATCATTTATAAACTATCATTCTACATTATATTTCATTTACTGGCCATTATACTCTATTATATTTCATTTGTGAGTTAATATAATTCAATAAATATCAATTATGTTTAATAAATATTTATTTAATATGCAGATATTCCATTAGTAGAGAACATTATGACGCGCATCTTTATCATTTGCTCCGGCCTAACTCCACCTATGATATCATTAAGTATTATTTTGATTAAAAAATATACAACATTAATGATATCAACACTATTTTTTACTCAGAAATGTATATAGATTATGCTTACTTATTCAATATTATTCATATCAAACATTTTTTTTGTTCAATTATAGTAATATACGTTATGGTGTGGTCTCTACTATCTCCAATCCTAACATAGCTCGCTACGAGCTCATTTTCGACTTCCCATTTAATACATAATATTAATTAAATGAATTTTCTAATATTATATAAATAAAACTATTTATTGAATAGTTTTAATAAATCATCAACTTTATTACAATTTATTTTTTACATTAATTCAAAAAATAAATGATTGATTATAAATATAAACATATTTATTTTTTTTTTTAAACATCTTTTATACAAATCAAAAAATTGAATATTCTGAAAAAAATTTTAAATTCAAATATCTTAATATATAATAAATTATATTTTATTAAAATAGGTTTATAAATATAATAATGAATAATTAATAATAAAAACTAATATAAGCCATCTAACCATGGTAACTATTCAACGATTATTCCGCCCTAAATCCATGGATTTTAATGTGCTATATTAATCAAATATGTTTGAAAAAATATTATATATTGCTTTTATGCAAAAATGAACATAATCCAGATTTTCAATTTCAATGAATGAGATTATTCCATTTTAAATGTCAACAATACAACTCATCAATATTCACAATAAATTATAACATGATACTGCTGTTTTAAATTATATTATTTTCATTTCCTGTTCTTTAAAAAAAAAAAAAATAAGAATAATTATTTCATAGAAAAAACTAAAGACAAGAAAAAAATTATCAGAAATTTAATTTTTTTTAATGTTAAATTAGAAGTATTACAATAATTTACTTAGGGATTGAGAAAAAAAAACGTCGCTCAAAAAACATATGACGAAGAAAATCGAGAAAAA